ATAGAATTATTGCCATGTTTATCATTTTTTAAAAGAAATTGTTAATTATACAAATATACTTCATGTATTTTTAAAAAATACATTCTTTATTTCAACTAATAAATGACATCTCTAAGAAATGTTTATCTTTATCATTGGTTAGGTAGGTAACGTGAGGTGAAGACACTTGAAGGGATCTATATAATGTATGCTAATTCAAAACAAATGGACTGTTTATTTCCTTTCAGGGGGCATGTGCACAATTCCACTCTAAGCTAGCCGAACAATGAACAATCCTCTGTTAAAAACTAATGTCCAAATACATGCTCTGCGCCTCTTCACTTTATATGTGAAGCTGATTTTCCGTAAGATATGAATAGATACATAATTCTGTTTTATAATTTTGAGACCAATTCTAGTATTTCTTGACAACGAAAGAAAAAAGTAACACGTAATTATATTCTTCTCCCTTGAAATGGTAATATTCATTTTGATATTTTTTTCTTTTATTTCTTTTCATTGAAGATCTGATCCAGGGAGTATAATTGGTTAAAGACTACTCTGTAACTGTTTAAACCAAACAAGAAACAAAGGAAAAGGGTTACTTTTGTATTCTATTACATATGCATTTATAAACCAGAAGTCTCTGTCGAGACTGTAGCTCTACTGGTTTGTACTTATAACAAAGGATGAGAAAAGAAGCCATTGCCATCAGACCAAAACTGTAGAGGGAGTGGCGTTTTAAAGGAATTTCACAGACATTTCTATTTTTAGTAACAATGGCAACACCGTTCATCGAAATCAAAAACCGATGCACTATTTTATTTATCTTAATGTAGTCTACTTGTGTGCCAAGTTACAATGTATATTGAAATCAGATCAAAATTGTAGGAGGAGAAGAATTTTAAAGGAATTTCACAGAAAATTCTGTTTTTAGTAACCATGGCAACACCGTTCACCGAAATCAAAAACCGTTGCCCTATTTTATGTATCTTAGTGTAGTCTACTTGTGTGCCAAGTAATATTGAAATCGGATCAAAACTGTAGAAGGAGTAGCATTTTAAAGAAATTTCACAGAAAATTCTACTTTTAGTAACCATGGCAAAACCGTTCATCGAAATCAAAAACCGATGCACTATTTTATGTATCTTAGTGTAGTCTACTTGTCTGCCAAGTAATATTGAAATCGGATCAAAACTGTAGAAGGAGTAGCATTTTAAAGGATTTTCACAAAATTCTATTTTTAGTAACCATGGCAACACCTATCATCGAAATAAAAAACCGACGCACTATTTTATGTATCTTAGTGTAGTCTACTTGTGTGCCAAGTTATACTGAAATCAGACGAAAACTGTAGGAGGGGTAGCGTTTTGAAAAATTGTTTAAAGACAGACGGACGGACGACGGACACCTTACTATCGCATAAGCTCTTCTGGTCTCTGACCAGTAGAGCACAGGCACTTGTTTCTGTAATAAATGTTTGACCCATAGTATAATAATAACACAAGGTATCTAACTCCGATTTACACCGAGTACCCCCCGAGGTCAAAAATTTATTACAGAAACAAGTACCTGTGCAGTAGAGCTAAAAATTACTTAATAAATTCTTTCATTTTACAGGGATTTGAAACTGCTGCTGCGTTTCCACGGAGATCTCCTCTCAATTGACTGCGCTTCCACGGAGTTTTCACGGCGTGTTAGGAGTTTTCACCTCGCATTCACGGCGTTCTCACTGCGCTGGCGGCGTTCACATTTACGTTCTCAATCCGTAAATCAATTCTCAATCAATATCAAACATGGGTATATATTCAGAAGGAGTGTTGATCTTTTTTGTTTAAAAATTCAAGTTACATGATGAAAAGACTTCTATTCATGACAAGAATTATAATTCTTAATTAAAAATTATCTATTTGAATAATTAAGCACTAAATTAATACTAGTTTTATTATTAAAATCCTCCTTTTTTCAATTTTATCGATTCAGATGTATTGTTATATTTTCTTTGATTTCATTATGAATGTAAATCTGAAAAGTTATTCCAATGCAACGCCACTGAAACAAAAGAATAAATTCAAGTGTAATTTTCTCTTCCTAATTTTACTTTAATGCTCCTAGTGCAACAAATATTTGAATTATTGCTGATGAAATATGAGGCCATTGTTCTTGTTTTGTAGGCTGGCTGACAACGCTCTAACAACGCCGTGAAAGCACATTATGATGGCAAACAGACGCTGTAGACACTCTAAGGGAGCGCAACGATCGCAGTGACAACTCTGTGTTGTCGTTGTGTAATAGCAGTAAACAAATAACAAGACGATTAATCGCATTACAAGCGCCGTAAAAGCGCGATAGAAACGCAGTGCCATCTCCAAGGACTCCTTGACATGTCCGTGGAAGCGCAGTTTACTATTACTGCGTTCGTGCCGCGATCATGATCGTCTTCACAGGGTTCCTACGTAGCTCCTACTGCCTTGTTGGAGACCTCACCGCGCTCCTACGGCGATCACACTACGTTTCTACTGCGCTCTTATCAGGCTGCGGTCACACGGCGCGTACTTTGTGCAAGCCCAAAGTGATCGCCGTCCCCTGGCGTTCTAGGAGACCCTATGCGATCCTACCACGTTCAGTGGAGATATTGCCGCGTTGCCATGACGCTGCAGGAGACTCTACTGCGATCATCTCGGCGTTTTGCATTTTTTATGGACGCCGTGAGGACGCAATCCCGGTTTGACAGGGGTTTAAGAACGCAGTAAAAACGTAGTATGGTCGCCGTGGTATTGTGATGACATCAACAATAACACAGTTGGAGCTCCATACGAACGCCGTGAAGACTCACATGATCGCAGCGTGAACGCAGTGACAATAGACTGCGCTTCCACGGAGACCTCACGGAGACGTCGCGGAGTCCTTGGAGATGTCACTGCGTTTCTATCGCTCTATTACGGCGCTTTTAATGAAATTTATTGTCTAGTTATTTTTTTGACTGCGATTACAGAACGATAACACGTTAATGCCTTGGCGTGTCTACAGCGTCCGTTGGCGATCACAATGCGCTTTCACGGCGTTGTTAGAGCGTTGTCATCCAGCTCACAAAACATGAGCGATGCTCTCATGTTTGATGAGCAATAATTCTAACGTATTTGTTGCACTATGTGCCTTAAAGTAAAATTGAGAAGAAAAAATTACACCAGAACTTTTTCTGTTGTTTCAGTTGTGTTGCATTGGAATAACTTAAAATTTGTAGCAGCTTTTCAGTGCGTTTATTTTTTACATTCATAATGAAATCAAAGAAAACACATGTACAATAACGCATCTGAATCGATAAAATTGAGAAATAAGGATTTTAATAATTAAACTATTAATAATTAAGTACTAAATTATTCAAGTAGATCATTTTTGCTGAAGAATTATATTTCTTGGCATGAGTTTTCATCACACACTTGAATCTTTAAACAAAAATGTTTTACGCTCCTTCTTTCTACAGTATATCTCCATGGATGAGAAACGTATTGTGAACGCAGCCAGCGCAGTGAGAACGTCGCCAACGCGAGGTGAAAACTCCTAACACGCCGTGAAAACTCCACGAAAGTGCAGTCAATCGCGAAGAGATCTCCGTGGGAACGCAGTAGAACGCCGTGAGAACGCCTAGAAACGGGTCGGTTGCCGAAGGGACGCCTTGACATCTTCACATTGTGAAAATTTTACAGAAATTTGTGCACGACGATGTATAAATTTTTACAACGCCGCAATGACACGGAGTGGACGCAGCTTGGTGTGACAAGGCCTTAATGGTCGCATATAGTGCGTACGGCCCAGGGTAAAAAAGGCCATAAACTTTTAAATATAGCGTTCAGATTATTTTCCATATATAGTAATAAAAGAAATAAGATTTAAATTTGTCCCAAATAAAGCAGATATCTTCTAATATCTTCAGAATCGTTTACAATAAAGACAAACAGTAAAAATACAAGGTAAAACCCGCAAGAAACATGTTTCAAAATTTGACTGAAAAAACGACGACAGCCATCCGAAAATCATAAACTTACGTTCTAAAATGGTTCAAAAGACGTGAGAGATAAAATATCTATTCAAGCATCTTGAAATTATTGGAATGATTTTAGCTCATTGATTTGAATTTGGTAGATACGTTTCTTCAACGGTGGGTGAAATTTTGGAGACACAACAAAAAGTGGAAACCAGTGGTGTGTGATGAGAAGAGGGTATGTCCTTATTCAAGCGTTCTCAGCTATGTTGTGTTTGTCTTCCAAATTTTATACTAATTCTTAATAATTTACTTAAAAACGGAAAAGTGAAAAAAAAAATATTGATGATGGTTAAACTTAAACCTAAATCAATGCATGGAGAATTAAGGGAGGAAAACATGCAAGGGAGTGTAGATTGCAAGATGGTAAACTTACTCTGTCGAACATGCAATTTCCTAATCTCTTGTTCCTTCGTCTTTTTTCACTTGTTCGATCTCATTCCTAAGCATTGTAACTCTCGCTCAAACTGTATTTCCCCAAGATGTTTCTTTTTCATCAAGGGGTTGTTTTTAAAGCGTAATATTCCTGCCGTCTACCGTAATCAGTGCAGCTTTTGAATTTTGAAAAGAAAAAAAATTTCGATGCTTCAATAGATATTTAATCAAAGTCATTTATAAAGGTCATAAGATAATATGTCATACTAATTTGTATGTTACTCATCGCATAAGTTATTTTATCAATATATGCTCCTTAAACTGTTTTACATGTACATGCATTCAATCGTTAAGAAATTTCTTTAATTGTCCTCTAGATCTGTTTCCATATTCAGAATGTTTCACAAGTTCATGCCAATTGCGAACTACAAGTATGTATTGTACAATGCAGATAGCCATTATTTTTTTTTTCTTTTGATTTTTTGTTTTGTTTTGATTTTAAAGAATATATCGAATGATAAAGCCTGGATCATAAATAAATAGACATTCATTTCTTTTTTCAAAAGTTTTTCATTAGATTTAATATAATCACAATAAAATGGCGGAAGGTTTCAGGTTATCTTATCTGACAGATAAGGTTATTGTTTGACAAACTGCATTTCTTAAGTTCTTTAAAGAGACAATGGTATTATGGGTTTTAATTTCAGTGCTTTCATTGTCTTTCATAAGGGGTAAGATCGTTCATTAATATCTTAATATGTTCACTCTTATAATAAGCAAAATTTTGCATCTTGATCACTAATACTGTAACAAAACTACATGTAGTCATATGAGTTACTGCTTAAAAATGGCTAAAATTGGAGCATAATAAGATCACGCAAATTATTGAAAGAATAAATAAGGGACAATAAAAAATAAATGAAATTTAAAATATGTCATATCAAATTAAAAAGTTTTTACGAGGAAAAATATTGATGTGTTGATCCTTCTATCAATAAAAGTAAAAATATTTAGTAATGAAAATCACATACCACGATTTCAGGTTGCTTTGTTGGATGGTTGCCATTCCAGGACAAATGTTACTTCTTTAGCCATACAACAGACTCTTGGCCAGATGCTGGAGTAAGCTACACATGTGCCTTCTCGCTACAAAAACAATAACTGAACTTTTTATTTGTAATTCCACATAAAGACAACTTTTTTAGTCAACAAGTCGTATTATATATGATTTAGATAAGCTCTTACATAGGTCAATCCATAGATAGATCGACTTCACAGAAAACATATCAACCGAGCACGAAGTCGATATAGCTGTGTACGAGTATATATTTACCCAATAATATGGCTACATTTGTTATAAACTATACAGTGCATTACCCGATATTTTTTCAAAGAAATTAACAAATTCATAATTATAGTTTTATATGTTACACGTACCTATTTATATTGAATGTTTTACCCCCTTTTGTAGCCAAACTGGGCTTAATTATTAATTAAAGTCATGATGTAAACAAATTTGAATCTACAATATACAGATGCTCACTAGTATATTATACCTTCACTTTACATGAGAATTTAATTGATTTCCAATTTTTCATCATAAAGGGTTTTACTGTCTAATAAAATCTTTAAACAATTTTAACCTCTATCTAGTGTGTTTGTTGTATATGTGGAATTAAGCTTTGATATTAAATAAAAGATTTCACGCTCGTTCAGATTTCTTTACAACATGTTCATGAAATACAATTTCAAACATAATCTGAAATACTTAAATCCATTTAGTTTTCTTTCTGATGTAAATATATTTCAAATGAAATTGTGCATTTTATGTAAGATTTTCTGAAAACAACAACTTCAAATTATGAATAACGGTTTAATCAGTATTTAAGAAGGATGAATTTTCATGGTAATCATGGGTAACAATCTTAGAGAATTTTAAACCATTACCTAGTTTTCATTCCAAATATGCTTATTTTATTTGAAACAGAGTACTTGTACGCAACTTGGATCTAAACTAGCTGAACCAAGAACAATAGAGGCGGCCAGGTTTCTAATCAGCCACAGTCAGAGTTTAGGTATAGTTAGCTTTTATACTTACTTTATATGTGTGACAGCAATTTTAGGAACGCCCTGAAAGTCAAAGGAAAATTACACCTATTGTTTAAAATCAAAATGGGCCATGAATAAGGTGAAGATAATGTACAGTAATCGGTTTGAATAAAAGACAAACCATGCAAATCTGTGAAAAGGCCATGAAACACGGAGTCCAGCTGCAGGTAATTCCAGAGGAGGGATTATGAGCCTTAAAGGAGTAATCATCCCTGTTGACCCATCACGCCTTACTTTTTGCAAGCCCTCTGTATAGATCAGGTATATAATGTATAAATAGTATTGTTTCATTCCGTAAATTCCATAATTGATTAACAATTATTACTCAAGTAATTGAATTGAGATGAAAGGAACTCAGTGAACTTCCAGTGTTCAGTGTACATTTTTTACTTCAAAAACTTTCTTCAATGCATGACTTCCACATTCCTAATAGATAAAAGTTTCTGGATGGGGATGTCAGATTTAGTGGAGGAGGATAGATGGGAGTACTCTTCTACACATGATCGTGTAACACTTGACTTGTGGCAGCCTGGAGAACCAAATGCCCATACGGATCAGAATTGCATGGTTATGTGGCAGCCTTTTCACGGCAAATGGGGAGATAATGTTTGCTCTGAAAAGCTTTACTTTGTTTGTGAAATAGATAACGGGTAACTACATTTACTGATATACGACAACATTTTCACATGTAAATAGTTCATTATAATACCAATTGTTATAAATACTTTAACCATTCAACTAATTGCAACCCAATTTTTACTGTTTAGACTGGGCTTGGGAAGTTGACGCTTTATAAGCCCCAAAGCAGTTTAATAAAAATGTCAAGGCTCGGGGAGAAAAAACTATTAAAAAAAAAAAAAAAAAAAACACAACGGGTTGAATAAAAATCATATCCAACCACAGATATTTTTATTAGATATGTTTCATGCTTCGCATTCAATGTTTTACGTTGCTTCTAATCTATATAAGGAAACTTTTTTTTGCTTTTATAATTTCAGAGATCCTCCCCAGGTAGTTGGATAAGATGTATGGTGGACTTTTGTGATAAACATATTAAACGTTTACAACTGCAACATCAAGAAATTGTATTTTTTCCTCTCTCATAATCATATCCGACAGTATGTGTTGACTAGCATTTTGTACCTACATGTATCAAAGTACAGAATAGAAAATTAAACGTCACCCAATTCATAAATCACTTTTCATTTTCCAAGCTAAGGTCCCATGGCTCGAAACCTGTCAGTCAGATACCGGGAAATCAGAGCCGGGGTAGATGTAAAAGGGGAAGAAAGCAAACAGTGTTCAATCTCATAAATCCAGTCAACAAAACGAGTTGGCAAAAAGACAAAAACACTGACCCCTGTAAGCACAAGAGTTGGGATCAGATAGGAGGTGTTGACCGAGCACACCAGCTGTACTGATCGGGTACTCCAAAGTCAAAGTATACTATTCAGCTTTGTTCTTATAATGTACTGACTTGATTTTTCTTTTAAATCATCCTCCCAACGCAGTTGGAGGGGATATTGTAACGCAATCATTTGTGTGTATTTGGAGGGAGAGATGGGGTGGGGTGGTCTGTCCTGTGCGAAACAGAAGTGACGTAATTTGTACCAGGATTGATGTCGAATGTTGTCTTGATTTATAGGTGCTCTTTGCGCAACGTCGATCATCCCCTCCAACTCTTTTGCGAGAGGATAATGCATAAATTTTTTTTTGATTTTACATGATTCAAACGCTATTCTTAAACAAAAACATTCAATTTTTAGGTCACCTGAGTAAACTCAGGTGACCTATTGCTATCCGTTTTCGTCCGTCGTCGTGCGTTGTGCGTTAACATTTGAACATTTTCAGCTTCTTCTTTGCAACCACTGAACCAATTTCAACCAAATTTGGCACAAAGCATCTATGGGTAAAGGGGAACAAAAATTGTGAATTTCATGATCCCTGCCCCCCTGGGGCCTGAGGGGTGGGGCCAAAACCACTAAAATTAATGCAATCTTTAAAAATCTTCTTCTTTACTCCTGGTCATCAAGCAGTCAAACTGTTTGCATGATTGTAATCAACAATGAGTCCTCTACAAAATTGGGAAATTCATGGCCCTGGGGTCAGGGGTTCTAGTGCTAGGGCGGGGCTAAATAAGTAGGTAGTGAAAATGCATTAATTCTTTGAAAATCTTCTTCTCTGCTCCTGGGTATTAAATAAACCAACAAAGAACATAGTTATGATGAGCAAGAGTACCTCTACCAAAATTGTGAATTTTATGGCCCCAGGGTCAGGGGTTCTGGTGTTAGGGCGGGGCTCTATTGATTATATAGTGAAAATTGATTATATAGTGCCTCTAACAAAATTATGAATTTTATGGCCCAAGGGTCAGGGGTTCTGGTGTTAAGGCGGGGCTCTATAGATTATATAATGAAAATACATGAATTCTTTGAAAATCTTCTTCTCTGCTCCTGGGTATTAAATAAACTAACTAAGTGCATAGTTATGTTGAGCAAAAGTGCCTCTACCAAAATTGGAAATTTTATGGCCCCAGGATCAGGGTTCTGGTGTTAGGGCGGAGCTCTATTGATTATATAAATTAATTAATTATAAATGACCAAATCATGTCTCAAATATTAATGGAACGATGAATACCAAGATGAATTGTTTTATATATATATATATATATATATATATATATATATATATATATATATATATATATATATATATATACTAAGTTAACTTCAGGTAAAAGTTTATACATGTATCTACAGTATAATTATACATGAATTCTTTGAAAATCTTCTTCTCTGCTCCTGGGTATTAAATATACTAACAAAGTACATAGTTATGTTGAGCAAAAGTGCCTCTACCAAAATTGTGAGTTTTATGGCCCCAGGGTCAAGGATTCTGGTGTTAGGGCGGGGCTCTATTGATTATATAGTGAAAATTCATGAATTCTTTCAAAATCTTCTTCTCTGCTACTAGGTATTAAATAAACTAGGTACATAATTATGATGAGCAAGAGTGCCTCTACCAAAATTGTGAATTTTATGGCCCCAGGGTCAGGGGTTCTAGTGCTAGAGCGGGGCTCTATTGATTATATAATGAAAATACATGAATTCTTTGAAAATCTTCTTCTCTGCTCCTGGGTATTAAATAAACTAACTAAGTGCATAGTTAAGATGAGCAAGAGTGCCTCTAACAAAATTAAGAATTTTATGGCCCCAGGGTCAGGAGTTCTGGTGTTAAGGCGGGGCTCTATAGATTATATAATGAAAATACATGAATTCTTTGAAAATCTTCTTCTCTGCTCCTGGGTATTAAATAAACTAACTAAGTGCATAGTTATGTTGAGCAAAAGTGCCTCTACCAAAATTGGAAATTTTATGGCCCCAGGATCAGGGTTCTGGTGTTAGGGCGGAGCTCTATTGATTATATAGTGAAAATTCATGAATTCTTTGAAAATCTTCTTCTCTGCTCCTGGGTACTAAATAAACTAACTAAGTACATAGTTATGATGAGCAAGAGTGCCTCTACCAAAATTATGATTTTTATGGCCCCAGGGTCAGGGGTTCTAGTGCTAGGGCGGGGCTCTATAGATTATATAATGAAAATACATGAATTCTTTGAAAACTTTCTTCTCTGCTCCAGGGTATTAAGCAGATGAACTACCTATATAGTTATGATGGACAAGGGCCCTAATCTTCCAGAATTGTGAATTTCACGGTCCCAGGGTCAGGGGTAACTTAGAGGGGAAGGGGGGTGTACTTATATACTGAAAATGAATGAACGGTTTGAAATCTGCTCCTTGGTATTAATCAAATATCAAGGCTTAAGGGTCAGGGGTTTATGTGTGGTAGGGGCACTACTGATTATTGCTGAATATTACTGATTTAAGTTGAAATGCATTTTTAGTTCCCCTACCCTGGCTATGGGCATTAAGTAAACAAACTAAGCAACTGCTAAGTTTATTGTTATGATGATCAATGGTGCCTCTTTCAAAATTGTGAATGCCATAGCATCTGGCTTAAAACATGAATCAAATTCAATCACTGGAAAATTGTTGCATAATGCTCAGGTGACCTATAAGGCCCATGGGCCTCTTGTTTAATGACTGTATTCAATGCATTAAAATGCATACACAGATCATTTGCATTATATGCCGTGTTTGTTCATGACTGATACCTTTCAATTCATGAGCTTGAATCTTCAACATCCAGGTCCGTAGAAGGGATCACATTCTTATTTGGTGGCGTTGATATTTTTATCTAATTACGATTCTATCGTAAATTTTGAAGATTATAAACTTAAAATTAGTTTCCGTGCCTTTTTAAAGGATACAAAATTGATTTATGTTAAAGCTGTAGCAGAATGCAATGAGGGAAGCGGGCTTAAAACCAACTTAACCAGTTGTAACCATCTGGAAAGTTCTCAAGTACTTTAATATTCAATTATAAATTACATGTAAATGTACTACAATTGTGTCTCTAACATTGTAAAACTACTGGCAGTTAACAAAATATGCTGTATGAATGCTTAATAAATCAGGATTCTTCTGAAGTTTTCTCTCTCCAGTAAGAAATTTTCAGAACAATTAGGTAACAATCTTTATTATCAGTTTAATTCATATAACATGAAGACAATTTCTGAATTCAAAATGACCTTTTATCAACTTTGGTTGAGCATCTTTTTCTGCAAATCAATGTGGTAACTCATTATCAAATAAAATAATTTCAATAAATTTTAATGTGTTGATTAAATTGTGAGAGTTCATGAAATTTGCTTCAACAAGCAATGAGTAGATTGCTGTGAGAAGAGTGTTATTCTTGAATGAAATTTATGAAGAAATTTGTTGAAATAATAATACCCAGCAATACACTGTCATAAAGTCACACCAACACATAATATTCAGCCTTGAACAATTAAAAAAGCAGAAAATTCTTAACACAATCACTGGTAGTGTGTGGAATTTAAAGGTTGAACAAGCTATATAATGGTTTGTAGATAGTTTGCATAAACACATGCAAACACAAAAATTTTAATATAAAATCCACATATCAAGCTTAACAATAATTATAAATGACCAAATCATGTCTCAAATATTAATGGAACAATGAATACCAAGACGAATTGTTTTTTTTTTATATACATACTAAGTTAACTTCAGGTAAAAGTTTATACATGTATCTACAGTATAATTATCCAGATTTCTTTCTATATAAAATTTATGCAATTTTTTTTAAATAGTACTTTTACATTTTAACAAATGTAAGAAGAACTAGATGAGATCTCATTGTGAACAACGAGTGGGTCTTCCGTCCGATTCTTGATGAGATGAGATAAGATTTTGATTGAGATTTTTTACAATGATAATATTGCAAAGAAAAACGATTTTGCTGCTGTTATGTTTTAATAAAAATATTGAACGTTAAATAGTCATAAATTCGAATTCTGACCTCCTTGGCCCTTTATATGAGGGGCCAGCCCTTTCTTCTTTAAATCATCTTAAAGATCTTAGGATTTTGAACAATTTTTGTTCAACAACTATTCAGAGATTCTTTTTCGTTTTCGAGTTATTTGCAAAAGAAATATTTAGGGGCCAACCCTTCAACTCCCTAATGGGGACATTAAGCGAAAAATAAAAGGTTGCATATTGTTAAGAACATTATTTTAAACATCTTTTGTTCAATATTACTTATCAAAATATTTCTCTCTTTTGAGATATAAAGCGACAAAGATTTAGCATTCTGGCCCCTTGTGGCCCCGAAGTATATGCCATACGACACAAAAATCATGATATATAGTTTTAAAGCGCTTAGATAAACATTTATGCTTCAGTAATGTATTACAAAATATTTACTCATAAAGAATTATCCATTGAAGTATTCTGGCCCCTCTTGGCCCCTAATTTGAGCGCCCAGTCCCTTTTTCTTCATTTCATCTGAAAGCTCTTAGGATTTTGAACACTTTTTGTTCAACAACTATTCAGAGATTCTTTTTCGTTTTCAAGTTATAAGCAAAAGAAGTATTTAGGGGCCAACCCTTCAACTCCTTAATGGGGACGTTTAGCGAAAAATGAAAGG